ATTTCCAAAATATTACAAATTTGTGCTATTACCTAACAAACCAAATACAAAAGGATTTTGAAGTTAGCTTGCTGCGTTCGTGAGATATGGCTTAAAGGTCCAAAACTTAAAAAAATCCTATAAAATCACACGATGATGTCATCATGATGTCACCTCAATTTTTACCTATAAAATACCCTGGTCTGCCTACATACCGAGTTTCAACCCAATCGGACTTACAGTTTTGTAGATATAGGACTGGGATAACGTCATATGACCCATAATGACGTAAACATGACGTCAGTCTTCGGCACACAACTTTGCTTTCTATGCCTATGTAACTTTGAAGGATGTGTGACAAAGATGAATGCCAAAAGTTGTGGACAGAAAAGACGTGTACAAAGTCTGTAGGATTTGTGGCGACAAAAAGGAGGAGAAGAAACTAGAGATCTTCGTCTGTTTGAAACAGAACATAAGGCTTTTCCGCATTATAATTTTGCATGACTTGATGCTTTTGAGTTTCTATAAATATACATGTAAATTGTGTAAATTAATATATCAAAGTTTGCTAAATTTGAAATTTAGTATTGAACTTTCAATACATACATATATGTACGTGACGTTCCGTGTTACCTTAACAAATTCACTTCGTTGATAACCAAATTGAATGCAGTGCAGAATGGTAAGCCTTGAAATAAAAATATCTGAGCACGTACTTATTGAATAAATATGATTGTGTGAATTAAGTTTCATTCGTATTTCAATTTAATATTTCATGAAACATAAACACTTTGTGCTACAGCTTAGATAATTGTAGTTAACTTGAAATAAGACTGCGCTGTAAGAGTAATAAATCCAACAGTGACCCAATAGTTCACATGCGAATTGGCTGTATGCTCTCAACGGACTGGCCTAGAATTCAACTTCATCAGCCTTCAACACAGACAAGCCACCAGATCGTGACTCGACCCAACTGTATGCGACATTTACGTGTAACACAGGCAGATCATTTATGTATTTGACATACTGGCAAACTTGGCACTACGCGTGCACTGAAAACTGCAAACCTAGCCTTGTAAAAAAAACTACATCAGTCACGTCACTTTCACCAACACAACACATACACGTACATAAATACACTCAAACTTACATGTGTAATTACATGTACATAACGTTCGAAACATACATAGGCCTTGTATATGGGGCACAGGGAAGTGCGAAGAAACACTGCTTCGTATACAGAGTCTATGTGGCTTTGAAAACTTTACAACTCAGGCGCGGTTCTAGAGCCAATATGTGGGGGGCTAGCAAGGTGGATCCTGAAGTTTTTGCAGGGAGGCGTGCTGAAATGTAGACAGGTTATTTTCTCCGGACACTAAGGCCTAAGGGGGGGGGGGGGGCTCACGCCATATTTTCAATGGGGAGCACTGATAACATCCTACAATCAGGCACACTATATTAACTAAAAGTCTTCAAATGCACCCTTCTCATTTTAGGGGGAGACCGTTCCCATGTACGTCAAATGCTTACATTTTGCTAGTGCTTTTTTTTTTAATGGAATTCTTTTTGGGGGGGGGGCGGGCTAGACTAAATTTTTTTGGGGGGGCTCAAGGGCCCCCCCCCCCAGATCAGAACAAAAACAGTGTCAAATTTTGTAATAAGAAAAAAATCTTTTCAAATCACAAATTCATAAGACATCAGCTGATGATGTCATTATGACATCATTTGAGATTTTGCATACTAGTACCATTATCTACTTATCCACCAAGTTTCATGATGATCGGACCTTTCCTTTTATGTGTTTTGAAAATTGCATTTTTGATGATTATTATGACGTAACACGTTTTGGAAAATTCTGTGTATAATACCTACCGGTAATAAATGTAATACACAAAGAAGTTTGAATTTGGTTTTAATGGACATGGTTCTAATTAGTCTCAAACTTTCAAAAGTATATATAAAATCACACAATAACGTCATGATGATGCATGATAACGTCACCTCAATTTTTGCCTATAACACATCCCGGTCTACCTACGTACCAAGTTTCAACCCAATCGGACTTACCGTTCTTTAGATATTGGACTTTAAATTAAAATATGCACATTTAAGATGACGGACACGAAAATCATGCACAAAGTCTATGGGATTTTGGGTGTGGAACAAGGAGAAGAAGAAACTAGAGCTAATGTGCTTTTCGAAGCACGGATATCAGCCTAAATTGCCGTTTTAACAGTTTGTCTGAATACTGACTCGCACTGCCCACAAGGTGACCATTGTTACATGTGGCTGAGATCGGCAAACGAATGTAAGAGAAATAACTGTGAACATTTGACATTACATAAAATAGCCGCCAAGACAGTACATGAAACAGTAGTTAATGCCTGTAGATTAATCCGCATAAACCATCAAAAATTATTAACAACAATAGTGTTGTGTATTGGCCTCCGTACTTTTTAATCCATGGCGGAGTATCTGGCCAAATATGCGGCTACCTTTACGCAGGTGGCACTGCCGCTATATAACAAACTGAAAAAAATGCAGTATCGAGACGCCACTTCAGCAGTTGTGTGTATGGAGAGTACGGCACTGTGCGTGCAATTGCCTGTTAACGTATGCCGCCGCGCCGCGCGGGTGACATCGTTTTTGCATGCCACACAACATTCACAGTATCGTGCATGGTGGTTTGAAACCTTCCCAGAATTCCTATGTTTTTATATTGTTTTTACATGCGTTTAAAAAATAATAAACTTGATATAACTCGACAACCAAATGAGTCAGGAATATGAAATTTTTGAATTAGAGATAAAAAAATACACTGAACAGAGCTGCAAAGATTTAAAACGAAAAACAGCTTTTAAATTTCTTTCCTAAAATGACCCCTACTGACCAATAGGTGACCACTGGCCAAATTCTGTGAACACATTTTGTGAGGCTTGGTCCAAAGATACAACTGACCAAGTTTTACATTAATCGGGTCAAGACTGTGGGAGAAGCATTTTGTAAATATTCATTAAATGACCTCTACTGACCATCGGATGACCAGTGGCCGGATTTTACGAACATGACTAGGTAGGGCATGTGTCATGGTTTAATTTGGCCAAGTTTGTGTGAAATCAGCCAACTAGTTTAGGAGTTAGGCCTATGACCATTTTTTCATTGGTCACGTGACCATTTGCCCGAAGAAAGAAAGAAAGAGATCGGACGATCACAGTATATCAGCGTGCTTCGCACGGCTGATATAAGAGAAACTAGAGACACGTGTACAATGTCTATGGGATTTAGGCGACAAAAAGAAGAAAATAAAGAAAGAAAAACCAGCACAAAAAGGAAGGCTTTTTTGCAACTTTGCAGAAAAGCCCACTAGAGGTCTATATCTGTTTGCAACAGAACATAGGGCTTTTCAGTATTATGTTTCTTAATTGAAGTCATGTTTTTCTGTTTTGTGCAAAATGTTGTGCATGTAAACCTATATATGTGAGATATGGCAAAAGTGAGATATGGCAAAAGTCTTCAAAACTTCAGAAATATATATAAAATCATGTGATGACGTCATGATGACGTCATGATGATATCACCTCAATTTTTATCTAGAACACATCCCGGCCTACTCCCATACCAAGTTTTAACCAAATCAGACTACCGTTCATGAGATATATTGGCTTAAAGCATGCACGTTTACGATGACATCACATGTCCCATGATGATGTCATCGTACCAATACTTGGCAGTGCTCATTATTGTATTGCTCATTATTGTATTGTGTAAGCAGACTAAAATTGTAAATATATAAAAACCGTAAAAAATCAACCGATGACATTGTCGTGACGTCATTTTAGATTTTGTGTATTAATACTAATATATGAATCGCTGCTAAGGTAGAAAGCGAATGATTTTATATCAGTAGCGATTCTGGCGGGACCGCAGCTGGGTGTCCATGTACCAATAGTTAGGGTGAACATGTAGATCTGTCTCTGGGTCACATAGGAATCACACGGAATTAAGGACACGAGGGTTTTCAGTGTGTGAAAATTATATGTTCAAGATGTCTCGCTTTTCGACGATAGCATCTCACACCCATGATTTCTAGTCAGGCAGCTTAGTGAATGGATGTGGACAAAAGCGCCAAATTTTTCATACATGCTCCTCAATGCCTTAGCTTTCAATTTTTGATAGGAACCAACTTATCCAACGACATTATGGCGGCCATCTTGGATTTTAAAAATGGTGGCCATTGAAAACCTATTTTTTACCCATATCTTAGAATTAAAGTTTTGGTGTCTAAACATACATTTTCAGGGTCGCAGAATACAACTGTATCATTTGGGATAGTGTCAAAGTGGTTAGTTTGTCCAAATACAGTATTGTGGCCATCTTGTTTTTGAAACATGCCCGCCATTCAAAACCTAAATCTCTGAACTAAGGATCTAAATCTTGGTGTCTAAACATATATTTTCAGGGTCATGGAACACAACTCAACCATTTGAGTTAGTACTACATGTATTTGGGATCGTGTCAAATGGTCAGTTTGTCCAGATACTTAATACGGCGGCCATATTGTTTGCCGTAAAAGGACCAACACTGGCCCGATTCAGGCTATGTACCTTTTTTCCATTATGGTTTGACTTGAAACGGCCGGCACCGGTCCCATTCAGGTTGTGTAACATCTTGCCATTACGGTTTCCAATATAGGGACCAACACTGGCCCGATTCAGGCCTTTTATCGTCTTTTCATCATAATAATAATGAAAAATACTACTTTATAATAATAATGAAATATATATAGCGCCGGTATCCGCCGCTTGCGGCGCTCATGGGGCTGCACTGCACAACAACCAGAAAACAAAAAGAAAAAAGAAGCACACGGTTGACTCGACCCTGATCCACCCGTCAAGATGCATCGTCACGCTAACAAGACGGCATTGTCAAGCAAACAGGTAGAACACCAAAGTCAACCAAATGCTTCCCTATGCAGGTAGGATTTTAAACTGTTCTTGAATGTGCCAAGTGAATTTGAAAGTCTAACAGTTCCAGGTAGGAAATTCAAAGGCTTGGTGCAGCAGTTTGAAAGCTTCTCTCCCCCATCGATAATTAGCCATGTTTTCCTTAAGGAGTTTTTGTTGTGAGGATCGTAAGCCCCGATGCCCGGGGGCATAGAGCTGGACAAGATCGCTTAAGTATGCTGGAGCGTCACCTTGTAAGGTCTTAAAGATGATGAGGCACAGTTTATTTTTGACTCGTTGTTGGATAGGGAGCCAGTGCAAGTTGGCTAACACAGGTGTGATGTGGTCTGATTTCCTAGTGTAGGTGATCATCCTCGCTGCAATGTTCTGTATCCGTTGAAGGCGAGAGAGGTGTGCATTGTTGATTCCGTACAAAAGCGAGTTGCATGAGTCTATCCTAGATGTAATAAATGCATCAACAATAGTTTCAGCAGCTTCCCTTGTGAGATGGTCCCGTATTCTGCCAATATTCCTAATTGACATGAATGCAGCCTTAGATAGAGCCGTCACCTGGCAGTCCATTTTCATGGCAGAGTCAAACATCACACCCAAATTACGAACATTAGTGGAAGGCTCAATGTGTGCATCACCAACTCTGACATGATCAATATTCACCTTCTTGATTGGCTGAGTGGATCCCAGAACCATGAATTCAGTTTTTGCATTATTTAACTTAAGAAAGTTTTGATTCATCCATGTTCCAATATCATCGATGCATTCTTCGACTCTTCGAAGCGCGGAGTTAACGTCTGCCTGTACAGGTTTCACTGATACGTAAATCTGAGTGTCGTCTGCGTATAAGTGATACCGGTAGCTCAGATTATACCGACGAATGATGTCCTCAAGTGGTGAAGTATAGATTGGGAATAGTCCAGGTCCAAGACATGAACCTTGAGGTAGTCCATAATTCAACGCAACTGCATTAGAGATGTCCTTATTAATGCAGACTGCTTGTGATCTTCCAGTTAGGTATGATTTTAACCAGTCCAGAGCCACACCATGGATACCAATTCTATTCTCAAGACGATGAAGCAGCATATCATGGTTTATCGTAAGAGGACCTGCAATGGCCCGGTTCAGGCTGCCGGCGCCGTCTTGCTGTTATTGTTGCCTTAAAAAGACCAGCACTGGTCCAATGTAGGCTCTGAACGGTGTTACCATTACAGTTTGCCACTTAATAGGGCAAGCACTGCACCAATTCTGACTCTGTGGTGTCTGTACCGTGAACACGGAACCGTTTTGGCGCAATCGAGCCAGCATTTGCCCGCTTCTGGTCTTGTACCGTTCATACTGTATGGTACTGCCACAACAAAGCCATCATTAGCTGGTATCTGCCCAATACCGTCCTGTTTACTGCGTCAATGCTATCTTTGAATCTAGGCAGGTAGAAATCTCAGGCACTACAGGATGTGATACAACTCTGCCTCTCCACAACTACATGCAGCTGAACCACTTTTGTAGCTCCATTTGATTAAGGCGGGTACGTCGGTGATCGGCCAGTCCTGGTTCTCAAGCGGCTGATAGCTTTCCATTTAACCCATGTCGATGTAGCTCCTGTTGGGAGGTTTTCCGCCGTTGTTATAGTATAACCATGACAATCGGTGGGCGTTTGCTTCCAGTCGTTGCATCCAGTGTTGGAGTCTTGCCACTTCCCTGGATGTTGTGAAGTAGTGGACCAAGGAAGCTTTTCTTGACTTCAGCCTTTTGTGCCGAAGCTTAATTGCCGTCCCTGGAGGAGGCGACACTCGTCCTTTATCAATATTTGGACATCTTAGCTCGACTGGCAACTTTCCTTCGGAAATCCGAAGAGGAAATGCCAGCAAGGAGGTGCAAATTACTTGTGTTGGTGGGTTTCAAGCATCCAGTGATCAAACTGCATGTTGTTTAAGGCTGGGTCATGGTTTCATAGTATGGGCTTAATCTCTCCCAGACGGTACACGCATACTCTGCTGAAGAATGGCACGGAGCCAAAATGGTTCATCTTAGGGTGTGGTTTGGCTCCCCTTTCGGAGGTTGTTCAATTTCTTTATGATGTTGTTACGGGGAACTAAATTTGGATGACCTGAATGACAAGATACGATGGAGGGTCACCCTAAGGTAGACAGGATGGCTACAAGGGGCCAATGGTGTTCCGGACCATTTGATGTTAAGGGGTCGGTTGGCTTCGCGGTTAACGTTCCTGAGATGGAATGAGCAGACTTGAGTCTTAGCGAGATTGGCATGGAGGTGATTGCGCTCATAGTATAGAGACGGCTAAGCGCTGAGGTAAGTTTTGCTTCTATGGCTTCGAATGGAATCATTTGAGATGTAACACAAAGATCATCTAAGTAGATGAAACGTTCAGTATCCTGATCTATTTAATTGTGATTTGTTTTGTGTAGACGTTACACAGCAGCCGAGCTAGCACAGTGCCTGGAGGTAGAACGTTTTCTTGCCGTCGACAGCGTTTTTGTTTTGTTCTGAGCAACAAATAAGCATCTGTCTTTGAGAAGGGCTCCGATATGATCCGTAAATGCGAGGTATTGGGTCAACTCCAAGATCTTTTTCAGGAGGCGGCAGTGGTTTACAGTATCATGTATGTGACTGAAAGCTCCACAAAAATAGCTCCACTTATTTGTCGTTTTGAAACCCATCCTCAGCTTGCTGTGCCGGGTTAAGAGTTGACTTGTTGTTGACTTGCAATGTCGCAATCCAGGTTGCTAAGGGATAAGGGATGTTTCAGCGACGGGGACAAGCCTGTTTAGGATCAGTCACTCGAACATGAACAAAAACTGTAATGGGCTCCTGTCTGGACCATGTTACCTGTGGCCTCCAAAGCCTGCAGTGAACTAGTTAATGTGGCTTCAAGAATCAAAGTGTATGCGGTGCAAGACGTGCATATGCAGCACCTTGCTAAGTGCAATAAACTATGCGGTTGCAACTGTGAGAATTAGGGCTGTCACAACGTAAATTCTTTTCTTATATTTTTTATTTTCGCGCACCTCATTACTCGGTAATGAGATCACCCTACGCACATAAATAGTCGAGTCCTAAAGTTTTTCTCCAATAAGAAACGACTATAGTTCCCGCGCCATTAAAAACGTATAACCACTGAGATTTAAGGCGTTGGCATTCGATGCATGGAGCGATGTGATGTAATAGGACATGTTCTAGCATTCTCCAGCATTGTCATCAACCATTGTGGTTGGTGGTACTATTATTCCCTTAATTGGTTGGTATGTAAATGTACATAGAATGAGAGAGAGAATGAGAGAGAGGGAGAAAGCCTTGGGAAGAACGATAGTAGCGTCAGATCAGAAAGCATCATCAAAATTAGTCCGTGTTAGTCTGAGTGTGTGTGAATGTGACCGGTATCAACCGTCCGAAGACACCTGAATGCAGCAGGTTATAGAAAACCCAAGATTCTGATTTTTGTGGAAATCAGCCACAAAATCCAGTTTGTCAGCTCGATCGGCAAAATTACAGTGCCGAAGTAAGATCTTCGGACCAGCAGTCCCCGGTCCGATTGTGACCAAAATCGCAACACTCAGCCCGGCATCAATTAAACTGCACTCTCCACAACCGTAAGTGTTATTTTAAAATATTTATAGACTTATTTAGACATTCATTTTATTTCATTGTGCAAAGTCGACAATCCATGAAATGAATTGTAAATCACGTAAGGCCACATCCTGAATGTCGTGTAGACCTTAGATGAATTGCCATGGTTGTGAAATTGAAACGAAGAACGGTCTACATGTATGCCGAAACAGCAGTTGTTTCAATTTATTGTATTAACCTTGCCTTTGTTTGAATTATTGGACGAAATGCTCTTTAGGTTTTTGGTTATTATATTATTATTGTAGATGGCCGTAAATACTGGTATGATCTAACCCGCCACTGAGCCTGAGGGACCGCCTGAGAGAACGCCTGAGAGATCGGCTACTTGGCCGTCATACTCAACTACCTACAGCACGTCTAAGTAAAGCGCAGAATAGTCCTACTTTCACCGTAAAGGTCAAGTTGAGCGGACAACATCTCCTTAGAAAAAAAACTGTACGGTATCCATATTGATCAAAAACTCCTCAAAGAACTAACTGACAAGAAACCTGTGTGATATTTAAATAAATATGATAAAATTAAGTGTTACAAGTATATGTAAGTAATAAGAGAACTAAGTGTTCACAAGAAAGCCCAAGTGTTGGGAAAATTAACTGTGAGACGTCTGCGAGTCACCCATCAATACGGTGATAAGAAAACTAAGTGAGAATTAATAGAATTGACTGGTAGAAGATCTGTGTGATCTATCGAATTGAGTGTAAATCTAAGACGTGATAAGCGATAAGATAAATTAGTTTACAGAAAATTTGTACGATTGATAGCTTAACCTTAAGCCAAGAGAATAAGAAAACTGAACTACAGAAAATCTGTGTGAATTAGATAAGTGCAAAAGTTAAACTGAAGTCTTCAATCCGAGAAGACAGTGATTGGAAACATAAGTTCTATTTGGATCCTTGTATATATTAATTGTAAATATTAAATTGGCATATATAACTTGTTAAAATAATACCTGTTCAAAATCTGAAGATTATTGTGTCTGTTGGTTTATATTTCTTTCTGTCTGATACTTCTTTGATCATTGATAATTTGAGCCGGGGTCACCATTAATAAAATTATACAAGTCGATAGAGATAGAGAAAATGAAAATGGTGACAAGGGCGAGCACTTTTAAACTATAAACCTTTGTGAGTGATGACATTTATTCGCACATAATGTTGTTTTGCTAATACTTCATACAGTATTTTCGGTGACTGCAGTATATGTCAACTGTATTCTGATAGAGATTTTGTCTTCAGTTTGACTATTTTGTGTGTATAACTAAAATCATCTTGGTCTCTTCTGAATAAAAGAGTTGTATTTCCTGACCTTGAAAATGTATGTTTCGACACCTAGACTGAGATTTGATATGGGGTAGTAGCTGAGATATCAGTAAATGCAATTATTATCTGGCGGCCATCTTTAAAATCAAAGATGGCCACAATTTACAAACTGAGCATTTGACACTGTGTTTGGACGCCACAATTTTAATCATAAGTGACTTAGAAGAACAGATATTGGTAGATATAGGTTTTCAATGGCGGCCATCTTTAAAATCCAAGATGGTCACCGCAATGTATCTGGACAAATTACCCATATAGCACTAACCCAAATGGTTCAGTTGCATTCTTTGACCCTGAAAATATATGTTTAGACACTAAGATTTCAATGTTAAGTGGCTTAAAGATGCAATACAGGTAGTTTGCTGGCAGTTGCTGATGTGCTTTTATCTCCGGGAGAGTTTCCTCAAAGATCTTGAACTTTGCTTCCATCATAGCCACTTTCTCAGCTAAATGTAGATCTGCAATCCCCTCAGGACTCATCTTGGGGATTTTAAGTCATTTAACAGCCACACATGTTTTCTCAATGTGCTCTTCAATATCATTCAATATGTCTATGATATCCTCACAAACTTTCATCTTTTCTGTTCGATTTTGTGAATTTTTCCTCCTCTCCGGATTCACAGAGTCACCAAACTTGGCAACCAGACAGACTTGGTAATGGTTTATATCTATTATGTTTCATATTATTATCGTTATTCCTTATAACACTTCGAGAAGTGAGTCTGCAGCTTGATCAATATTTCTCACAAAAACTGCATCTGAGCGGACCTGCTATGACTTTCATAATGATTTAATTTAACAGTTGCTTTATTAAAAACATCACTAAAGGCCTTTAAATTCCCTTTAAAAGATCTACGATAATGTGCAAATAAGGGTTAGCTCACCTCTATATTAAACAATATATGACTCGTTCCTTATTGATGACCAAGCTGTAGTATATCCTTATGTGACCCCTACTTTCTGTTTTCCCAGAGATTCAATTTTTAAAGATTATATTATCAATGTTCATAGTTACAATGTTTTGGAAAATTTCATGAAATAATTTCTGCGCTGTCCAATAGACAGTCAAAACATTTTGGGAACAGCCCTGTGGTTGTCTAGCTACAACCACAATCTATATTTTCAAACTGTATCTCTTCACCTCAGAGGCCTGCATTGTACTCAATGCGTATTCCTTTCTCCATGGTCTGAACATGGTTTTAACTGCATTGTGCGCCACAGTATTTGCAGGTTTATATGAACACAAAAGCTTGAGCCCCTCCTTTGTTCCAATGACAGGACGGGGGAACGAAAGCTTGAAAACCAGATTGTCCGATCGGCCACCAAAATCCATAGCATGCTTCTTTAGAAAATAAAATGTTAATTGAAATTTGCCAATTGCATGGCTTCAAGGGCCTGCCTGTGTGCCACTGGACTGGTTGCGCTACATGGCATGACCAACAATATCTCCTTAAAATGAAGGAAATCCAAACTATACCTTCAAATCCACGAATAGTCAGGCAGCTTAGGCCAGCTTTTGGAATGGATGTGGACATTCCAGACAAAAGCGCCAAATTTTCCATACGTGCTCCTTATTGCCTCAGCTCTCAATTTTTGATAGGAACCAACTTATCCAATAACAATATGGCGGCCATCTTGGATTTTAAAGATGGCTGCCATTGAAAACCTATTTTTACCCATATTTCATCTTCTAAGCCACTTAGAATTAAAGTTTTGATGTCTAAACATATATTATCAGGGTCAAGGAATGCAACTGTACCATTTGGGACAGTGTCAAAGTGGTTTGTTTGTCCAGATACAGTATTGTTGCCATCTTAATTTTGAAGATTGCCGCCGGCATTGAAAACTACCTGTATTGCATCTTTAAGCCACTTAACATTGAAATCTTAGTGTCTAAACATATATTTTCAGGGTCAAAGAATGCAACTGAACCATTTGGGTTAGTGCTATATGGGTAATTTGTCCAGATACATTGCGGTGACCATCTTGGATTTTAAAGATGGCCGCCATTGAAAACCTATATCTACCAATATCTGTTCTTCTAAGTCACTTATGATTAAAATTGTGGCGTCCAAACACAGTGTCAAATGCTCAGTTTGTAAATTGTGGCCATCTTTGATTTTAAAGATGGCCGCCAGATAATAATTGCATTTACTGATATCTCAGCTACTACCCCATATCAAATCTCAGTCTAGGTGTCGAAACATACATTTTCAAGGTCAGGAAATACAACTCTTTTATTCAGAAGAGACCAAGATGATTTTAGTTATACACACAAAATAGTCAAACTGAAGACAAAATCTCTATCAGAATACAGTTGACATATACTGCAGTCACCGAAAATACTGTATGAAGTATTAGCAAAACAACATTATGTGCGAATAAATGTCATCACTCACAAAGGTTTATAGTTTAAAAGTGCTCGCCCTAATTCTCACAGTTGCAACCGCATAGTTTATTGCACTTAGCAAGGTGCTGCATATGCACGTCTTGCACCGCATACACTTTGATTCTTGAAGCCACATTAACTAGTTCACTGCAGGCTTTGGAGGCCACAGGTAACATGGTCCAGACAGGAGCCCATTACAGTTTTTGTTCATGTTCGAGTGCCTGATCCTAAACAGGCTTGTCCCCGTTGCTGAAACATCCCTTATCCCTTAGCAACCTGGATTGCGACATTGCAAGTCAACAACAAGTCAACTCTTAACCCGGCACAGCAAGCTGAGGATGGGTTTCAAAACGACAAATAAGTGGAGCTATTTTTGTGGAGCTTTCAGTCACATACATGATACTGTAAACCACTGCCGCCTCCTGAAAAAGATCTTGGAGTTGACCCAATACCTCGCATTTACGGATCATATCGGAGCCCTTCTCAAAGACAGATGCTTATTTGTTGCTCAGAACAAAACAAAAACGCTGTCGACGGCAAGAAAACGTTCTACCTCCAGGCACTGTGCTAGCTCGGCTGCTGTGTAACGTCTACAAAACAAATCACAATTAAATAGATCAGGATACTGAACGTTTCATCTACGTAGATGATCTTTGTGTTACATCTCAAATGATTCCATTCGAAGCCATAGAAGCAAAACTTACCTCAGCGCTTAGCCGTCTCTATACTATGAGCGCAATCACCTCCGTGCCAATCTCGCTAAGACTCAAGTCTGCTCATTCCATCTCAGGAACATTAACCGCGAAGCCAACCGACCCCTTAACATCAAATGGTCCGGAACACCATTGGCCCCTTGTAGCCATCCTGTCTACCTTAGGGTGACCCTCCATCGTATCTTGTCATTCAAGTCATCCAAATTTAGTTCCCCGTACCAACATCATAAAGAAATTGAACAACCTCCGAAAGGGAACGAAACATAAATATTTGTAAAATGCGAAAAAGCCCTGTGTTCTGTTTGCAAACAGACATACAACTCTAGTTTTTTTTCTTTTTGGCCCCAAAAATCCCATAGACTTTGTACACGATATTTCTCTGCAGCACTTTGGGCATTAATCTTTGTCAGACATCATTCAAAGCTGGCATAAGCATAGTCCCTATAGCAAAGATGTGTCCCGAAGATTGACGTCATGGTGACGTCATCGACTAATTTATTATAGATTTTTGAATATTTAATTTCTCTCATAGACTTTGTACACAGAAATTTAGACAAAATTGTTGATTTTCCAAGGGACTAATTTTTGGCTCTTTGCCAGTAAATCATTTACACCAATCTTTGTCCAAGCAAAGACCCTAATTTAAACAACATTGTGTAATGATGAAGTCATGATGACGTCATGATGACGTCATGATGACATCATCCGCTGTTTATGACGTCATTGCAGGGCAAGTGACATCATTTGATAAAATTATACTTTAGGAATTATTCTAAGCGTTTGGAACAACCTTTAACTGCATGAAGCACTCTCAAAAGTGACTGCAAAAGGACAAACGAAACAAATATTTGAAAAATGCGAAAAAGCCCTGTGTTCTGTTTGCAAACAGACATACAGCAAAAAAGCGGAAAAGCCTTTCTTTTTGTTCTCATTTTTGGCTTTTCCGCAAAAAAGCGGAAAAGCCTTTCTTTTTGTTCTCATTTTTGGCTTTTCCGCAAAGTTGCGGAAAAGCCTTTGTTTTTGTTCTCATTTTTTTTTTTTTTTTTGGCTTCTTCTTTTTGTCGCCTAAACCCCATAGACTTTGTGCACGTTTTTTCTCAACGCCACTTTTGGCATTAATCTTTGTCATACATCATTCAAAGTTAGCATAAGCATAGTCCCTATAGCAAAGATGTGTCCCGAAGATTGACGTCATGGTGACGTCATCGACTAATTTATTATAGATTTTTGAATATTTAATTTTTCCCATAGACTTTGTACACAGAAATTTAAAAAAAAATGTCGATTTGCAAAGGGCATTTTTGACTCTTTGCCAGTAGTTCGTTTACACCAATCTTTGTCCAAGCAACGACCCTAATTTAAACAACATTGTGTAATGATGACGTCATGATGACGTCATCAGGTGTGTATTTATAGGCAATTAAATTGTGACACTTTTAATATTCAAAAATGCATAAGAAATCAACCGTACGCGTCCGCAGCATTTTGTTGCTGGCAAGTGGTAGAGTAGGTTGAGGTCTTTATTTCATTCAGTGTGCGTGAAATCA